GTGTCTCTAAGATTATGGACGTCGCTCACAACACACACACACCACACACGCAACACACACACGACACACACACACACACACACACACACACACACACACACACTCACACACACACACACACACACACAACACAACACACACTCACACACTCACACACACACACACTCACACACACACACACACACACACACACACTACACACACACACACACACACTACACAGACACACACACACACAGACACACACACACACAGCACACACACACACACACACACACACACACACACCACACACACACCACACCCACACACACACACACACACACTCACACACACACACACACTACACTACACACAGACACACACACACACACACAGTCACACACACACGACACACACACACTCACACACAGCACCCCGACACGCACACACACACACACACGACACACACACACACACAGCACACACTCACAACACACACAGACCACACACACACACACACACAACACACACACACACGACACACAGACACACAGACACACACACACACACACACACACACACACACACACACACACACAGACACACACACAGACACACACACACACACACACACACACACACACACACACACACACAGACACACACACACACACACACACACACACACACACACCACACCACACACACACACACACAGACACACACACACACACACAGACACCACACACACACACACCCCACATCACACAGCACACGCACACACACCATGCACACAGGGGTTGCTATGATCTGAAACACACAGAGAATGAAGCCGTGAGGAAGCTGCACGTACCCCCTGTAGACTCTGAGCAGCAGCAGCAGAAAAAGAAACAAAGAAGCTTTAATCTCTCCCACACTCACACAGACACACACACATGCACACAGGGGTTGCTATGATCTGAAACACACAGAGAATGAAGCCGTGAGGAAGCTGCACGTACCCCCTGTAGACTCTGAGCAGCAGCAGCAGAAAAAGAAACAAAGAACATTAAGAGTAAGAAGCAAAACACAGGCAGGGCTGGGAAAGCGAGCCAATCCTATGTACAAGAGTTATTTATGGCTAAAATCTCAAAGTCATAAATGACCATAAAACAATCGTACCAAGCATTAGTGCACTCCTCATGAAAAATTTCAAAATAAATGACTTGAATAGCCTTTCTTTAACATTGAACACACTCTCAGTTATAAAGCATACATATAATAACATGTAACAGACATAGAACAAGACAAATGTATTTAGATTTTTTGAACCCATCACAGGTTATTGGCTGGCATCTTCAGCGATCAGCATCCCCTCTGAAGCGTTCTATATACATCCTGCAGGGTGACCCACAGAGTGAAAGCTAGGTGAGTGTGCTTTAACCTTTAACCCTGAAATATGGGAATTGTGCTCCAGACGAAACAGGAGTCTAGATTAAAGCTGGCTGCAGAAAGTGTCACCCTTATGGGGGGGCTCAAATATGAATTTTCACTGTTACGTCTTCTACTGGGTGGAACACCTTAACACTCGGCAGGATGTACTCAGCCCATGTACTTACTTTTCCAGCAGAGCCAGGGCAGTGGCTGGATTTACTCTCAGGTATTTGGATGTTGGCTGGCCATAGTCTGCCAAGTACGTTGACCAGTCCCACACCATGAAGAGGTCCAGGAGCTACAAGACACAGAAAGGTATTCAGTGTATCCTCAGAGTGCACGTGAAGATGAACGAGGGAGAATTTCAACAGCAACAGATGCCACACTTGCCAACCTTGAGACCTCAGAATTAGGGAGACATTCAAAAGGGCTTCGGGGGGGGTGTACATATACATATATATATATATATATATATATATACAAAAAACTTGAATTTTACAGTGTTTATTTATCAGATAAAATAAGTTAAATGTCACTGTTATTATTGGCTGGCCGGAAACAGCGGGGGTGTCCAAATTCAGGGGCTGCATCCACCTGAGGACCCGGCCTTTGCAGTCTAAGTGGGCGGGTCCTCTGAAAGCCGGATAGGTCAGAAGTGAGCGACTGTGACGGTCTAGCCTTCAGAATTACGTCACAAGCTCTCTCGGGGGAGTGAAACTCTGCCGTCTGCTCCTCGCTGTCTAAAATATAACCAGACGCTGGCATAAACTCTCGACCGTCTCACACTTTGTTTAATCAGTTTTCTGTTTGACGTTTATTCAGCTGTGTGAAAACCCCGGAGGAGCCCACCCGAGGGATTATTAATAATGTTTTATTTAATCTAATCTAATAACTTTAATCTCAGCCAAACCGATTTACTCACGAACCAATAAAACACTGAAAAAGGCCAAACAACAACATGTTTAAGTCATTTAAGTGACTTATATATCATGTTTAACCCGAGTAGCCAAAGACTGCGGGGGTTTGAGAACGATGTGCTGGGAGTTCGCTGTTCTCGCCGGCTCAGATATTTGAAGTTTAGACGGCTACATTCTCACCTGAAAATGTGTTAAAAGTGTATTTTGTGACTCACAAAGAGTAATAAGAGTAATATTAAAACTAAGTGGCTGCTGCCATTGTTGGAAACTGGGCTGAGCTATGAATTCTGGGATATGGTTTTTCAATTTTGTTGTCTGGGTAGAAAATCGGGAGAAATTCAGGAGAATGGTGGCTCCGGGAGATTTTCGGGAGGAGCACTGAAATTCGGGATTCTCCCGGAAAAATCGTGAGGGTTGGCATGTATGACAGATGCATCGACTAACTTTTCCAATAATATATATATATAATAATTGCGTAATTCAGAGAGGCGTTTCTCTTACAGTTCATTTTAGCTGAGTGCAGAAACCCGACTCATTTTACCAGCCAACATTAAATCATGAAGCTAGTGCTACATAATTACAGATAGTAAAAGGTATAAATCAATGTTACTATTTTACACTGCTAGACAACTTGTGCTAATAAGTGTTGGTTATTGCAGATTACACTGTTGTCATAGTCTGAGACACAACACCAACTGTTTACTGATTTTCTTGCTGTGATAATGCAACTTGCGTTTTAGATAGATTTATATTCAAGTCTTGAATCTAATGTGCTGACAACAGGTCCAGTGGTACAGCACAGCCTTTTGTTGTTGGCTGACGTACATCAGAAGTGTTACTAAAAGTCAGAGACCAACATGTTTTTTCTGTGAAAGGAAACATGCAGTAGGATTTAACCGTTTCTAGCTGGCTAATGTTTTTGGCTACACGACTGTCGTGTTTCTATAGAGGCTCCTTCCCTGACTCGCACAGTCTGCATGTTACAGTCCAACATATTAAACCTGTAAGTCATGACGAGCGTTACTAATTGTGTTGTGACCTGCGGTGAAGACTAGAAAATGTCATATAAACCTCTATAACTGCATTCTAGCAACTTGCAGCTCTTTCTCTGGTGTAATTAGGCAAAAAATCTCTCCCCCATTTCCCCCTTTTCTCTTCTCTCTATTGCTTTTGCGTTTGTTTTTTCCTTTTGATTACACTGAGCAGTTTTCTCCAGTTTAACCAAACAGCATCAAGCACCACCCTTTACTATTGAGGACTGCGTCTCCTGGGTCGCTGCACCACTCTGACAGATACAGTCGATTAAGGAGAGAGAGAAGAAAGGAGTAAGAAGACTTCTTCATGATGTTAAGTGTGAAGATTTTAAATGACCCCACCATGACCTCTGTTTAACCAGATGGAGATGACTCCCCTGCCCCACACAGACACAGTGTATGCTAATGTCATAGGGTGAAACAGCTGGGTATTTCGATCATGTTGAAAAAGAACAGTGCAAGAACAGCTTAGTGATAATCGCATTATTCTACTGACTGACAGACTCCAACTTACAGAGTGAGGCTTAGCAGCGATGCCATTATTCTCACCTGGAACCAAGTAGCGAGTTCTGAGAAGCCACAGTTTGCTATCTGAGCCCTCCATTACAGGACTCAAAACCTCTACTTTATGTTTTTAAGGTCTGTTGTGACTCCTTGACTTTGACCACTGGTTTGAACAGCTGTGTGCACACAGTTTGCCTGTGGATGGTTCCTGTGCTTTCATTAAAACCTAAAGACTGAATTCAAGTCAAATGATAAATGGGTATTTTTCCTTAACATGACAAGTATTCTCAATTCAGTTCTACTTAATTTATATATTGCAAATCACAACAGCTGCTGCCTCAAGGCAATTTATATTGTATGGTAAAGACCTGCAATTTTAGAGAGGAAACCCCCCAAATCACTCAACCCCCTGTGAGCAAACACTTGGCAACTGTAGGAAGGAAAAACTCCATTTAACAAGAAGAAACCTGCAGCAGAACCAGGCTCACCTGGGGGTGAGGGAAGAGATGAAGAGAGCAGAGGACCAAAGACAAATGTGGGAAAGAGACAGAATTTGAAATTCTCCTTCTGGATTTTGAGAATTATCAGGAAGCCAGCGAAGAGAAGCTAATATGGGAGAAGCATCTCCTACTTCCTGTCAGCACTCTCGCTGCCACAGTCAGACTCGTACACAGTGAGGATGTAACACTGTTAACAAAATAACTGAGGGAATAAAGTTTAGGTAGCTGCTGTGTATTGTTTTAGGCAGATGCCACTGAAGAAGACAACAGCAGAGGAATCAGCTGAAAACACTGTTTACAGAAATACTAGTGTAAAAACGTCCTATAGTGAAATGTATTCATCACTGCAGTGTAGCTGATTACTGTAAACTTAAATGTTAGTAAGAAATGTTTAGACAATCTGCTACAGAGATGTGGTCAAAATCATCATCCTTGACTGCATTCAAGGGCACGTAACGCATATGACCAGCAAGGCGGTGCAGGTCTGACCCTACAGACAGTGAAGGAGGTCCGGGGGTGTAGCTCGTTTGGGTCATCTTTTCCCCTTTGGAAGAAGGGTCACTAAAAACCAACAGAAACTCAGAGAATGAGAACCATATGAATCTTATGCTATGACAGTCCCCATATCTCAATTCACCTGAACATCTACGGGAGAGTTTGGCCTGGTGTTAGCAGCACTCCACACCACCATCACTGAATCCATGGCAACAACTTATTTAAACTTCACCAGCAGCATGTTTGGCACAGCACTTAGTTTGTTAGCCTGATGTCTGTGGTTCTAACACCTAACAGACGGCAAAGTCTCAGCCCATCATCCTCTTTTAGATAATCTGGCTTGTTAATAATTTGCCCGTTCATAGCAAGAAGGCTGTGCAGACAAAAAGAAATCGTTCCATCAAGTGTGCCTTCTTGAACACACACACATACACAACACACACACACACCACACACACACACACACCAACACGCCGCACGCACGACACAGCACGCACGCACGCAAACCCACACGCACGCCGCAGCGCACCACACACACACACAGCACACACACACACGCACCAACGACACACACCACACACACACACACACCACACACACACACACGCACACACACACACACAACACACACACACACACACACACTCTGACGGTGATAGGATAGTGATCTAAAAAGCAGCTAATGCCCCAAAAAAGTAAAAGGATGACCTCTGTGTAACCCCAGCCTGTGGGCGCCTCCTAACCCTGTCACCTCAGGCTAGGATTAACCAAGCAGCCTGTATAAAGAGGAAGATGGACACATCTTGTCAAATGAGGGGCAGGAAACTAAGCTGTGCTCAAGAACAGATCCAGGCAGGGCACCAGCTACCCTCAGGGACACCTGACCCGTTACCCTGTGGATGGAGTGTCATCATGACAGTAACCTATCATATTTGAAAAAATGAAGGTAATGGGGGATAAAGGTAATCCCTAAGAACAGCTTTGTGTTCTATGCCTGTAAGCTACTACGAGCAGACACAGGATGCCTTAGATGGGTGTCCGGTCTATCACAGAGCTAACATCGACAGCCAGTTTAGAATTACCAGTTAACCCTACAAGCACATCTCTGCAGTATGGGAGGAAGCTGTAGCAGCTGGGAGAACATGCTCCATCATACTGCAGGTTAGAACCCACAGTACAGTAACCACTGTACCATAGTGGCATATTTGTGTATTTTATCGTGCTTTTATGTTCAGGTAACCAACAGTTAGAGTAACTAGAAGATTAGCAATGTACCAGTCACACACAGTCTACATAACTAGTAGAAGATGTGCTTCATCTCTTTCTTCAAGTATTTAACAAACATGTGCTTCATATACATAAGCAACACTGTGTTGGTGCTTTTTCCCAGCATGACTACTGCTGCTCGCTGATACTCACCTCTCTCTAACCTAGCATCATCACATCACCTTTATTCTCATCAGTATCAGTACAGTCCTTCTCCACTCCTCAGACATCCTCTCACTCGCCAAGATCGTGTTAAAATATCTGGTTAAAAAGTCCTCCGTCCTCATTCCTAGACATCTCCACACCTCCACAGGTATGTCATCTGGGCCAATCACATTTCTCCTCTTCATCCTCTTCAAAGCTGCCTTCACTTCCTACTTCCTAATCCTCTGGACTTCCTGATTCACCAACACTCCTCCATCTGTCCTCTCTCTCTCCCTACATCTTCTCAACACACTTTCTTTACTTGACAGTAAATTTCCACCCCTGTCTTTAATCACTAACCTGCTGCACATCCTTTCTAGCTCGATGCTGACAATTTCTTTAGAGTCCCAACTCACATACAACTCATTATAAGGCTTTATTGTTGTCTAGCCTCCCAGTACTCCTGTATACTTTCTACATCTCCCTGACTAACTTATTCTTAACTTCTTCTTTTAAATAATTTCTGTAACTGCTCGTTCTACTACCAAGTCTCTTTCCTCTCTGCTACCAAGCACCTTCTTGGCAGTTCGCCTCACCGTTTCAGCTGTACTTTCTCTCAGCTCCTCCTTGAACTCTTTGCAACGTTCTCCCTTCTTCAGCTTTCTCCACTGAATCTTTGCCTCCGTCTTCACTCACTTCCTCTTCTTGACTTACAAAATCCTCCCACAGACTCCACTGCCACCACATTCAGTCTCCTCTCACTTTCAGATTTTACCTTCTGTATAAGACCTAGTCCCCCGGTGTTCACCTTCCTCCACCCTTATTCCTCATTCTGTGCTCCTCCCTCTTTTTAAATACACGTTCACCGTGGTCATTTCCATCCTTTTTGTAAAATACACCAACATCTGTCCATCTGCATTTCGCTCCACCATGCCTACCCAACATGCATCGCCCCAATTCTTTTCCTTTGTCTTTGCGTTTGTGCTGTTTCTGGTTTAAGGCTTAGTGATAAAAGTTTACCTGTCGCAGATCGATGAAGGCCAGCTGAAGAGTGTCTCCTTGAAACCCAGGCACTGGCTCTGAGCTGGCAAACACTGAGAAGTTACAAAGACAACGTCACAAAACAGTTGACTCAAAGCTGGAGTTTCAGGTCTGTTTCTTACTATACAAGCACACACTGGACATTTGGAGGTCTGTGGTCATTCAGCTAAATGCTGGATTTAGTTATGCAAGAAATAAGAATCATTTTTGTTGTAGATGAAACATTTATATGTGAACCAGTGGAGGCAACACATGCTGGTCAGCACAAAGATTCTGCACTTCTTTGGAAGAAATCACACCAGCAGTATCACACAAGAGCAGAACTGAAATGTTATATTACGCTCTGCGTGATTTGTTTTACTGAAACCATTGTATCGTTTATATAAACATTCATGTAAACTGTTTTACAAATAGCAATGTGAAATGGCTGAACTTTAGTCATCGAGGTATTTTAGGACTATCTATCTATCTGTGTAAGCAAAACAGGCATTACTGCACGTCCATGCTGCTTTGTAAAGCATTACACATAAAACGTCACTGTCCTTAAACGCAGTAATTCGTTGTAGTACTCATTAAATTACTTTCATGTTACTCTGTAAATTTAATTGAAACGCGCTGTCACATAGGGCTGTGCGATATGTCCAAAATCTCATATCCCGATATAAGACGTCTATCGTCCGATAACGATGTAAATCACAAAAATGTAACATTTTCTGTAAAGTCTGTGAATCTCGGGCAGCTCGACTTGCGTGAAGTGTTTCCAGCTGCGCGTCGTGTAGCTGGAGTCGAGTGTTTTAACCGATGCATGAAACGATACATTTTTAGACATAAGTTGTAACGGCGCCGTTTTCTTTGTGAGTATTTATTACACGGCGTGCTGCGGGGAAAAGCCTGTTCTAACGTTTGAGTCTGAGCTTTATTTTTTAGCACCTGACGCTCTTTTTTACTTCTCATCCGTAAATAATCTGCTCTTTCATGTGATTCAGTTTATTTTGAAAGGTCTCAACAGGATCTTGAGCTTTATTGTGAAAGGTTTATGTGGAACATAAACAAGCGGACACGCAATGCTGTTATCGTCGTTGTTGCTAACGACAATGCATAAAAACAGGCGCTTGTCCGTCCGTAGTGTGGTTATATTAAATATAAGAGAAAGAGAGAACTTTAAGAAGTTGAAGAAGAAGCCACTACAGTGACATCAGAACCATGAACAAATATCACTGTAAACAGTTTATTTTGCGACACCACGAAACAAACGATAGCGTAAAATGAAACGATGGATGTTTTTATATCGTCATCATATATATATCGTTATATCGAGCAGCCCTACTGTCACATAACTACCAGTTAACAATATAAACACATATCTCTGTCCTAATGAAGATGCAGCCTCCATGCTGTCTGTGCAGAGGTTTTGTTATTAGTAATATGCTCTTGTTTCTGCAGCGGAAGTAGTTTTCACTTCACCATCACACTCTGGTCGCTGTAATCATTTCCATACATCCACTCCTCACAAGCTGCAGACTGCTCCTGCATGCATGTGTGAGTGCACACAAAGAAGAAGGTGCATTTGCTCGTTTTCTTTTCATCCACCTGACGTGCAGGTAACTACAAAACCTCTGTAATGTGATTAACAACATAATTGCAAATGTAATGTCACTACTGAATTTAGTACAATATCGTGTTACATTACCATGTTGCTGAAAAATGTCTTGTGATTACAGTAATGTGTTACTTTGGAACACATTACACCCAACAGTGTTTGTAAGAATCATCATCTGACAAGTGATAAGATGATATTACATTAAATGCCTTTGCATTTCAGTATTTTTCTTAGTTTCAATAGAATGTTATTGTATCTTATCTATATTAAAAGAAAACAAATGTTTCAACATTACAATTCTTTATACTCACATTCACACTGAATAACATCTAAGTTGAACTGCTGAATGGCCCCCATACTGATCTGTTTGAGTTCCGTGTCCAACAGCATCTGCATCAGTGATGTGGACAGATGCTTGCAGGCTGACATACAAGCGGTCTGGGCCACTTTTCCCTGCACAGGGAGAGATTCAGGGAGAAGGAAGGCACAGACAAGAAGCAAGAGGAGAGATGAAGGATGGAAAGATTAGGATGGGGACAGAGTTGGTAGAGGATGAGGATGAGAGGAGGGGAAAGCGACAGAATGAAGTCATTTGATGGGGTGAACATTTTATAAAGAGAGAACGGGCAGTATTTGAGTTTTAAAAATATGTAGGAAGGCCAGGATGGGAAAAAGAAGGTGAATAATAACAGATTGAGATAAACAGTTGTGGTAAAAAGTTGAAAGAGAAGAAGGAGGAGGGTATGAGAAAAGAGGATATAGGAGTAATACAGAAATGGGGAATAAAGAGCAAGAAGGGCAAGGGATAATTCCAAGTTAGTGTTGTCTCAAATTCTTCATGAACAGGTATAAATATAGTACTGTGCAAAAGTCTTGAGTCACCACTATGTTCTGTATTTGCTAGAAAAATGGAAAAAGTGCAATGATTTATTGAAATGTTTACAGGTTATGTAAACATCCATCCATCCATTCGCTTCCACTTATCCTTTTCAGGGTCGCGGGGGGCGCTGGAGCCTATCCCAGCTGTCATAGGGCGAGAGGCAGGGTACACCCTGGACAGGTCG